GAAAAGAAATTTCGGATGACAAAAGAAAAAGTGGAAATAAAGAAATGATAGATGAAAGAAGAAAGGGGGAAGGGAGGGACAGTGCAAGGAAAGAAAGAAGGAAGGAAAGGACGAATGGAACAAGTAAAGGGAGAAGAATAGAAAGAATAGATGAAGAGAAGAAGAGAGAAAAGAAGGAAAAAGGAAGGAAGGAAAAATCAAGAAATGGAGTAAGAAAGGAAAGGATAAAATGAAGAAAGGCAGGAAAGAAAAAAGGTTGGATGAAAAGAAACGAGGGAAGGAAATGATTGATGGAGGAAGAAAGTGTGGGGAGGTAGGGATGGCGTAAGCAAGGACGAGGGAAAGAAAGAACAAGAGAAATGAAGGAAGGAAGGGGAAGGTGGATGAATTACGCTGATGAAAGAGAAAGGAACGAATGATATAAGGTCATAATGAAGAAACAAGAGAAGGAAAGGTATGAAAGAAAACAGTAGAAAGGAAATAATAATAATATTAGGTTGGTGCAAAAATAATGACGTAATAATGTCGTTTTTAACGTATTTTTAACGTCAAAAACGACATTATTACGTCATTATTTTTGCACCAACCTAATAATAATAATAATAATACTGGAAGGAACTAAGAGAGACAAGAATTAATGAAGAAAAGAAAGGAAAGATATAAGTGAGGAAGGAAGGAAAGATGAATAAATTAAGAAATGTGTGATGGGAGGTAAGAAGAATATATGCAAAGTGAAAAGACGAAAAAATGGCAGTGAAAAAGACACTCGATTTGAAATATAGCCCCAAATAAACCAAAATGGTGGCTCGAACAAAAAATGTCAGATTCAGATAGTCATCAGAAACGGTATATTTTTCACTCTTCTTATTTATTTTTTTTAAAAATTTACTCTTCACAAAGAATCGCCATTCTGTTTTTCTCATAATTTCTTTTTTCGCATTTTGGCTCACGAGACCAAACAGCCTGTAGGTCTTTCTCTACGCTATTCTCTCTATCTGACTATCCCAATCCCCACATCCTCGTCCTATCCGTGTGTGTGTGTGTGTGTTTTTGTGTGTGCATGGGTGTATGTAGGTGCGTGTGTGCGTCTTCCCTTCGCTGTCCGTCAGATTCGGTAAACCTATGAGTACTTTGCTCTTTTGTCATTGTCTTTTTCTTTTTCTTTTCCTTTTCGTTTTTTTTTTTTTTTTTTTGTCGAAACTTAAAGACAATTTCGTCCAACCGCCTGCTTATTCATCAATAACTTTTTTCCCCTGCTACATGTCAATGACTCCCACTGCTGAGGGCACACATGATTGACCCCACTGCGCAAACATGCAGTGAAGTTTGTCTTGCCCCTTCACCCTCGCTGCCTGCCAGTGTGTCAGTTTGAAACGTCTGCCGGCCTGAGTGTCTGTCACTTCGTATCATTGTGCCCACCGCTAGCTAAAATCCCTGACACACCAAATACATCCAGCAACCTGTATGGAGATTTTGCCTGACTTTGCATTTGTTATTTTTTTTAATTATTTTTACATCTATCTATCTATCTATCTATCTATCTATCTATCTATCTATCTATCTATCTATATATCTATCTATGTAACTAGCTTAGCTAGTTCATTATTTATATCTATCTATCTATCTATCTATCTATCTATCTATCTATCTATCTGTATGTCTGTCTATTTAGATAGCTCACAAGCTAGCTAGCTGGCTTGTTATCTCAGCCTGTTCATATCTATCTTTCTAATATATTCCCCGTAGAAGTTAGCAGTGGATTCGTAATTAAATTTTGATTTAAATAATTCGTTGCACTCTAAGTCAGTTAACACAAATTGATATTTTTTTCTGTCAAACGCCCCACAAATTAATTAGGTAATCATTGTTCAGTTGGCGGGCAGGATAAAAATCCTTCTGCTCCTCTAGACTGAAATGTTCCGGGAAGTACCCACACGGGTGACTATTCTGAAAAGTAACAGATCTTGGGAAAATGTTGTCTGAGTGGAACTTTCTTAGATTTGAAACACAGAGGAAATGAGGGTGATTTGATTCCGTGTAGATGGTATGGAGTATCTCAACTATAACAAGTCTGGACTGGTGGAACTAAAGAGTTGAGCTCATCGGAACATTTGCCATTGAAACAGTGATGGTGTAGCAAGCGTCATACGGCATTCAGTCCGTGCGAAAGGGGTTGACAGATGAAGAAGTATTTCTCTCAAAGACCGAGGTGAATGACTTTTAAAATCTATCAAAGCCGGAAAGCAGCTCCAGTTCAGATATACTAGTAATACTGCTTTTTTTTTTTTTGCCTAATCTTATTCTTTTAAAGGTAAAGCATTGCCGAAGGAATCGGTGTTCCCTGAGTCACTATGTCCCCGACTCTGAGAGCCTTTTAAAGTTTGAAGAAGATTACCTACAGCCTTATCCATAATCAGTGATCTCACCAACCCAGCGAAGTCTTTTAGAATCCTTTGTGAACATTTTATTGTGGAGACAAATTAAATTCGATCTGCTTTTATTAAAAGAGTACTTTTAAAACATAGCGAAAATACATAACAAACATTTCTTTTCATTCCAAAAGCTAACCAACCCTTATTTCAGTAAAATCTAATTCATGTAGGAAGAAATTAGAATAAAAGGGAGATTCTCATGCACTGATATTTAAAGTAGTTGAAAATATTTTTCTTCTTCTTCTTCTTCTTCTTCTTCTTCTTCTTCTTCTTCTTCTTCTTCTTCTTCTTCGTCGTCGTCGTTATTCCGGGTTATGATGATAAACTACATCCGGCAGCAAGGCCTCTGATCTGGAGACTGGAGTTTTTGAGGAGTATAGAACCACTTCTTAAATGCTGTTGTTACCAGGTCCACTCTGATCCATTGTGGTAGCACCTGTTAGAAACCCAGCTATGGGCAAATAGTGAAACCTCAAATAAAAACAAAACCCTATGAAATTATAAAAATACATTTTCATAGTAAAAATAGCAGCAATATTTTTTTTTGTATAAAAATTACCATTAATACCAATTAATAGTAAAATTACCAATAATACATCAATCATTATTAAAGAACTTTCATGAAATTAATCCATATAATATCCTACATTTTCTTAAATCAAACTGTATCCCAAAATAAAATCCCAGCAAAACAACATAACCACACACACAACACCGCCTCCATGTGCTGTGACCCTTCAGGACGTTGGCGATCATAACTTCGTCCTTTGTAACTCTGAGTAAGGTTTGACTTTTTGCTATCACTCCGAATCCATGTTCTGACATTTATTTACACAGGGTCGTTTAGGTAGGTTATTCCCTGATTTCATCGGTCTTCTTTGTCTTCAATATATCCTGTGGGTGAAAATTCTCAAAATCCTCTTCTATCTATCTATCTATCTATCTATCTATCTATCTATCTATCTATCTATCTATCTCGGTCTCTTCATATCTATCTATCTATCTATCTATCTATCTATCTATCTATCTATCTATCTGTCTGTCTGTCTGTCTGTCTATCTATCTCGGGCTATTCAAGTCTGTCTATCAATCTGAGTCTACTCAGATCTATGGATTTCTAGCTATATTGCCTGGTAATATTTATCGATTTATCATATCTACATGTTTACATTTATCTATCTATCTATCTATCTATCTATCTATCGCAATCTGTTCATATCTATCTATCTATCTATCTATCATAGTCTTTTCATATCTATCTATCTATCTATTTCTGTCTATTCAGATCTACATGTCTATGTATTTATTTCGCAAGCTAGCTAGCTATCTTAGTCTGGTAATATCTATCGATATATCATTTGTTCAAGTTTACATCTCTCTCACTTTCTTTCTCCGTCTCTTTCTGTATCTATCTATCTATCTATCTATCTATCTATCTATCTCGGGCTATTCAGATCTATTTTTCCCTATGAATTTGAACTTTCTCTTTCTAATTCAATCCTGAATGTTCTTTTTGTTTCCATTTTCACTACTGCTTCGTAAATCAACATTCAAAATTCTGTTTTTACTTAGAAAATCTTAAGCCCTGGTCAATGCTTATAAATACACAGCACTCGTGCCAATAAGCTAGACCAAAGGGAGACGAATTAAAAAGATTCTGTTGTACTAATATCTTAAATGGGGATTGAATACCTTCGTTAAAAATCAACATTTGAATTCATGGATTTTACTTTGGCTCAAAATAGGAACACGCAGAACTTGTGGATCATAGACAATTACCTAACCAGTTAGACAGAACAACAGCAAACGAATTGGGAAGATTGTTTTGCACCAATGTTTTTAATTTAGTGCGCAAACCTTGAGAATCATCATTCGAGGTCCTGATTTAAGCATGGCTCAAAATTTGATCACTATGCACTGGTAGAAAATTGACTTCTACTGAAATAATTACGTTGACTCATGTGAAAGACGCTATGAGGATTGTGCTGTGCTAATGCTTGTGAGTGGAAGCGACCTGCCTACCTTGACAATCAACATTCAAGATCCATTCCTTTATTTTTAAGAGCGATCAAATACTGACAAGTAGAGTTTTACCGTAAGTTCTATGCTAACAGTTTCTTCTATCGCACTTCTCTCTTGTGGAACTTTCTTCCGGGTTCTTCTTTCCTGGTCAAGTTTGATCTTCAGGGATTAAAATTTAAAGTTAATCATTATTTTATGTCTTCTTAATTCGCGTTCTTTTATTGTTCTCTCGTTTAATTATCGTCTATATTCTCTAACACTCAGTAACCCTATTGCATCTTAGTGGCTTTATTGCTTTGTTTTGGGTGAAATGAGTAAAAGGAAAGTCAAGCCCAAATGATTAGCTGATTCTAGCTCGTGAACAAGCTAGGGTGAATGTTTGAAGAATAATTTATTGCGCTGAATTTTATGCGTGCCACCCCTCCAAGTTCAAATGCGTCTGTATCTTTGTTGAGAATTAAGAACGACGTCAGCCATCAGACAACACAACACAATAATTATAGCTGAAGTTTTCTCTCGTACGATGCCAGTTAAGATTTTCAGCAAATGGCCCTCCGCGTGAAGCTATAGATATCAACCTAACGTTGATTGTAATAGGAATATTGCAAATTTGGCAATCACTGGGTGGTGTGGCCTTGTGACAAATATTAAATATCATTAGCTCGATGGCGGAGAGGTTCATTTCGCAAACAAAATATACAGCAGTGTGAATTCCGTCAAGACTGGTCACTTGTGTCATTTAACAAATACAATTGGACTACGCCTTGTGACTGGCATATATACCATGTGATATAAGTTACTATTTCAGTCAGAGCAGTTGTCTAACCCAGCGTTTTATAACTGGTAAGTCTTGAATGCATTTATAAGAAAACAGATTATACAACCATTGTTAGCATTGGTTGATGGAGGACAGTAGCATATCTATACACCTTAGTCTCTTCTATATCTATCTATCTATCTATCTATCTATCTATCTATCTATCTATCAATCTTAGTCTGGCCATTATCTATCTATCTATCTATCTATCTATCTATCTATCTATCTATCTATCTCAGTCTGGTCACTATCTATCTATCTATCTATCTATCTATCTATCTATCTATCTATCTATCTATCTCAGTCTGGTCACTATCTATCTATCTATCTATCTATCTATCTCAGTCTGGTCATTATCTATCTGTCTATCGATCGATCGATCTCAGTCTGGTCATTATCTATCTATCTATCTATCTATCTATCTATCTATCTATCTCTGTCTGGTCATTATCTATCTATCCATTAATCTTTTCAGATCTACATGTCTATGTATTTATTTCGTAAACTAGCTACCTATCTTAGTCTTGTAATATCTATTGATCTATCATTTGTTCATGTTTACATCTCTCTCACTTTCTTTCTCCGTCTCTTTCTATATCTATCTATCTATCTATCTATCTATCTATCTATCTATCTATCTATCTATCTATCTATCTATCTCGGGCTATTCAGGTCTATCTGTTTGCCTGTCTATCTATCTATGCCAGCCTGTTTTTTTCTTTCTTTCTATCGATCTATCTATGTACATTATTTCATATTTATCCATTTGTTAATATAGGCACCCTCACTCTCTCTCACCCTTTCTTTCTTTCTTTCCTTCTCCCTTTCTCTATCGCTCTCACTCTCACGCGATCCCCCTATCTCTATTCTATCTTCTTGTGGTTATAAAGGTGTTTGTCCAGCCAACTTCTCCGTGGCTCTGATACTCTTTCAAAGAGCGAAGAAGATTACAATCATCCTTATCCGACCAGTAATCTCACCAGCTCAGCAATATCGTACCAAGTGAGCCTTACGCCTTCGAAGAAACGCATAACCGGGTTATCAAGTACACAATTCGGCTCAGTGTTGGCTTTTCTACTCAATCTAAATCTTCGCATGTCCGTGAGCCGATAAAGATTGACGAGCCACCGCTCTTGCTTTTCCATCGGAATCCATATCCCCGTAAAAACAAAGGGATCTTTTGAAATAACACACACACACACACACACACACACACACACACACACACACATATATATATATATATATATATATATATTATGAAATGGACAAGGTCCGACAATTATTTAAGGCATTTTTATGTTTATACATTCTTTTTATAGATACAAATATTTAAGTAGATGCTCTGTTTGCATTTTCCTTAAAAGAATCTTCGTTGGTTACGTACCCCAAACATCGCATTCTCAACATCCTTCTGCAAAACCAAACGTGTCGGCTGAGGTCTCCTCTTCTTCTGTGTTGTTCAGCATTCGCAGCTATATATATATATATATATATATATATATATATATATATATATATAATGAAGTTATATAGAAAGTAAGCATTCTTTTCATTGTTTCCGATTACACTTTCCTGTTTGTAAAAATTTTGCTGCGTTTTTTTTAAAGTTTGATATCTCAATACGTCTTCGGATTTCGATGTCACAGTCTTTGATAAAACAACCCAGATCACAAATATATAAAAATTAATATTTTATTAAATTATATAATCTGTACAATAAACACAAAAATGTCTTCGTGTGTCACACTTTTTTCAATTAAAGTGACAAAACTCTTTAACTTTTAAATACATCCTTTATCTATATAATAAATGCGAAAATGTCTGCGTGCGTCACGCTTTTTCAATTAAAGAGACACAACTCTCTAACTTTTAATTATATCCTTTATCTCTATAATAGATGCGAAAATGCCTGTGTGTGTCACACATTTTCAATTAAGGGGACACAACTCTCTAACTTTAAATACATCCTTTATCTATATAATAAATGCGAAAATGTCTGCGTGTGTCCCACCTTTTTTATTTAAAGGACACAACTCTCTTTTTAAACATATCATTTTCTTCAAATGGGACTTGCTCGTCGAGGATTGAAATTGACTCCTCGGATTGTAAATTTAGCTCTCTGTGAAACTGAAGACAAAGTGATGAACTTGGCTCAACGAGATCTCAGCAATTTTAGTCTGCCAAATCTAAACAGATAAACTGGACAAATCAACAAGGAAATTTTGAGTAAAAAACAGGATACATCATGGAAGAACTGCTGCAGTGTGTTCCAAATAATGAACCCCTGTTGAAGCAAGACCAATAGCAAGTGTACCAGAAGGTTCTTGATGACATCAGCAACAACAATGGAGGGATATTCTTCTTGGATGCACCCGGAGGTACCTGGAGGTACTGGTAAAACTTTTTTTAAACTAACCTTCTTTTATCTGCAGTGAGACTCCAAAGAAATGTAGCTCTTGCAGTAGCATCATCTGGAATTGCTTTTACGCTCTTGCCTGGAGAACATAAAGCACACAGCACCTTCAAACTTCCATTTGATTTGAACTACAATGAAACCCCTAATTTCTACAAAACAGGAACCAACTTGGCTAAGATACTTGAGGAGACAAGCTTTATTGTCTGGGATGAATGTACCATGGCACATATTCGATTATTTGAGGCCATGGACAAAACACTGAAATACATTACACAAAATTCACAAATCATGGGCGGTATCACTGTGGTACTCTCTGGTGATTTTAGAAAAACATTGCCAGTCATTACAAGAGGAACTCCAGCCGATGAAATCACTGCGTGGTTGAAAAATTCTTAAACCTGGAGGTATATTCAAAGACTCAACCTGAAAACAAACATGAAAATTAAAATCACAGATCACCTTGAATCAGGAAGATTTGCTGCTTTGCTGCCGCAGCTTGGCAATGGAACCATCAAAATGGACCAAAATAGAGATATTTCACCCCCAAATGAAAGTGGAGTTTCAGTATCCAAGACTTGATTAGCCATTTTTATCCAAACATTAAACCCTATTTCATGGATTCAAACTGGCTTTACCTCCCAAGAATCTACCTGTCAATAGTACCAACTGGAATCTTCTCCAGGAAATTCCAAAAAAAAAACATGAAGTACTTTTCCACTGAGACTGTAGTTGAACAAGTGCAGCCAGTGAATTATCCACTAGAGTTCCTGAAACTCTTTGAATCCTCTGGAACGAAAGAAAATGTACCAGTTATGGTATTGAGAAATCTGGATCCTCCAAAGCTTTGCAATAGAACAAAGTCAATTGTCAAGAAGATGCTTCCATATCTCTTGGAAGCAAAGATCCTCACTGGTCCAGGAAAGTGCTTGAATTCCAAGAATCCTCTTAATTCCTCCAGATCTTCCTTTTTTGTTCAAATGATATTAGTTTCCAGTGAGAGTGAGCTATACAATATCAATAAGTCCCAAGGACAAACATTGAAAGTACCTAGACTTCATCTGATGTAACCCTGCTTTTCTTAAGGCCAGCTCTATGTTGGTTGTTCAAGGGTTGTGAATGGAAACAAGTTATTTGTACAGTCCCCGAATCGGAAAACCAAAATTGTTTATCATGCTGCTTTGCAATAAAGACAAATTATATCATTGTTTTGATGAAAACTAATAATTGTTTGAAAAATATTGTTCACTTTTAATAAATAATATGTACTCAATGCATGAAGTGTCATTGGTGTGCCAAAGGCCAATCAATAATTCTCCGTTGGACTAGTTTAAACGCCGCCCTATCGGGCGGCCTTTAAGCTAGTAGTTAATAAAGAAATCCAGTTTGCTATGTACATTTATTGCAAATTGATTGACCCATGGAAGCCAAAACAAACATGCTCATACGACGTGATTTCTTAAACTTTATCACTCGGTATTATTAATATTTCCTTTCCATCGTATTCTTTTTCAATTCCTCTCAGTTGCAGAATCCTTACTGTTAATTTAACTTATAGTTGTTTTCTGTTGCCATAGCAGGATATGACAACACATCTCTAAAATTCAAACACGCTATTTTTCAGAGTTACCTTCAGTGGAAGGATAAACTTTTAGTATGGGAAAGTCACATACAGATTAATAAAGGTTAAAATATAAAAAAAAATGTTATCATTTATTTCATTATCTGGGATGTCTAATTGATAGGAATATATAAAAAAAGAATTCACAATTATGAATTTCAATTTTATTTTATTTTATGTTTACATTTTAAAGCACGTCGAAGAACATGTGTCAGGGGAAATCAATTTTTAATGAATTCACATGAACCCATCTTTTAATTTTTTTATAAAATTTAATTAAAAAGGAATCATTTTCAGAATATGGGGAGGTTAATCCTTAGTCACACGGAAAAGTTTGTAATTTTAAAAAAAAAGGTTTAAAAAAATCGTTACAGTCTACTTTATAACCTTCTTTGTTTCTAGCTCGGATAGGACATGTTTAAGCAGATCTGTCGAAGCTGATTTGGCGATATAACTTAAGAGAGATAATTTTGTCGCATAAATTATTTCTTGGATGATTGATGATTTCGTCAGATTTTCTTTACCTCAGCATCTCACCATATTATCGTACCTTTTAAACATCCTGTAAACACCCAATATTGGTTAAAACATAAACATGGCAAAATTAAAATCAAGTGAAAATCAAAATAAATATAATATAAATAACACGGCACCTTTGTGCAAATTAGCTGAAACAAAACGAATAATTCCATTATTATTTTATTTTTTCGTATTATTTTTCCAGTGAAACATGATCCAGAACACATGTCAGTACTTCATGAGTCCATTCCTTGTCGTTCCTTTCAGACTGACCACAGATTCTCGATAAACCAGGAGAGTTTCCGAGTCAGTCGATAGTACTTTGTTTTGCCCTTGTATTCGTTCAGCGTTACAATTTTCGTACGCTTCCTTGGAGTAACGTCCGTCACAGACAATGGCTGTAGGAAAACTAATCGACAGTCGAAACGATAGTGTCTGGGCGTGATGAAAATCTGATGCAATCACAGATGACGCGATATTTTTCAACGGCAAATTAATTCCATCATACACCCTGAACATAAGTTCATATCACTGCACACCACTGCAAATGACCTAATCTAAGGAAAAATAAAAATCAATTACACCCTGTCACTCCAGCGGATCTAAATCTGACCGTATGCTGAAAGAAATGAAGCTAAAGCGACTGTTTCAATGAATTTGCACCAGGGTGTATTCTTTTGATTTATATGAGAAAGTTTATTAATTATCTGTATATTACTTATTTATTACTTATCTGTAATGGACAAAGTATGGTGTTTCTGCTTGAGACTCCAGGAAGCAATTCATTGGGGACATGACTGTGGAAGAACAGCAAAAATTGCGCAAAAGGTATGTGGAAATGCTTTATTAGAGTTCAAAGAGCAGAAAAACAACTGGTACAGCAGCCAACGCCACAAAATAGTAATGAAAGGTCAATGTGGCGACCTGGGAAATATAAAATTGCTCACGTAGAAAGTAGGTGCGGATTATTGATTGAACTGCATCACAGACAACGGATTGATGATACAAGCCAATGCATCACTTCGATGAGAAACTATTTCTTCCTCTATATTTGATTTCTACATTGTTCTCTGAGATTTTCACATTTCTTAAACTTAAGTTAAAAAAAATTATTCTTTTGCAGAGAAAAGAAGGACTCGTTAGCACACGAAAGGGGTGTTGAGAGAGGTTTGGAATGAGAAATAGGAAAACTGAGGTCGAATACCAGTCAGGTTTGTTAGAGTCGATTATGTACAAATATTTTCTCTTTTTTTTTTTAAAAAAAATTCTTTAACCCCAAGCAAGGTAATAAAACCACTAAGACGCAATGGTTTTGTAAATGTATAAATCCATCTTCCCTCGCTAGCTACGAGTTTAAAAGTACGCCATCTAACTAAAAAATGCTGCGTTATCTTGAAAAAAATTATTAATAAAATATTCACTATAATAAAATATATAAAATATATTATTT